GAATTGAATTGAATTGAATTGGAGGCACCACACTCCACATCAAGTGTGACAGGGGGAGAGGAGGCGAAGATGTATAGCAGCAAAAAAATGAATAAATAAAAATTCCCAGGAGATGGGAGGAGTCAAAGGCCCCACCTGACATATACAGTTATACACAAACACAGTCACACACTCCCTCCCTCATGCTCACACATACACATACAACCTAAGACTCACAAAAATGCATGCCAGACACCCACTCATGCTCCCCATACACACCTGGACTTTTCTGCTTCTACAAACACTCCAATGTGAAAAAATTAATCAATCAGCTTCCTGTCATTTGGTTTTTATTTGCCTATAATGAGCAGTTTTGTTTGTGACATTAGAAACGTAGAAATGAGAATAAAACAACCTCTCATGGGCAAGATAGAGTTGCTTCTGGAGGAGCAACGGCTCTACCCCAAGCCCCTCCCAGTTATCTGAGTGAGGGAGGGGTGGACGTGGCCAGCAGCAGCTTGTTTTACCAAAGTGAAAGAGCTTGGAAACAACTCATTCTGGAAGGTACTGAAACAAAATTGCTCAAATTGCTTCATGTGATGGGGACTTTTCACAAAACACTTAATGAACATGTTTTGTATCACCCATAGATCTAATAAAACTAAAAGGTTTGGTTCACCCATTGAATTAATCAATTTGTGGTGGTTTCTAGTAGGAATGAATGCCTTGTAAGCCATACTCTGTGAAACAAAGCTCCGGTGTGCCTGTTTTAGGAAGTGGAATTGAACCAGATCAGAGTTGAGCTTAAGACGGCAGGATAAAAAGTCTTAATTCCTGATATTTGGACATCTCACTTCAGACTGATTAACAGCAAGATGAATACGATTGCACTTGCTTTGCAGCTTTGAAGTTTATCTCCACAAACAACACAAACCGGAAGGAGTTCTGCTGTGTGGTGGAGTTGCTAAAGCTACCAGTTAGCTGCTACTAAATGAGATGTTCCCTGCTGATTCCTGGATGCTAAACCAACAACAGCCTTCCCCATTGCGAGTCAAGATGGGTGAGTCAATGAATGTTTACCCTCCCACTGTCCTGATGGTTTATTCCTGGAGGTCCACATAGCAGGAGTGAGGAGTGACCAGTACCTCACCACTGCTCAATGGTCACCTTTCCTGGAGGCGTCACCCATTAGGACAGTGGGAGGGTTGAGAGACTGTGTGACATAGATCTTTCAGGATTTTCTAATCCTAATCAGAAGCGAATGCACGAGATAGATGTAGAAGAATGTTTTCATGTTCAGCCTGCATTAAAAACTCAGAAAGACAGATTACAATCAGGAATAATAATTGAAAAAATAGTTTTTCAGTGAAACACACCTTTAAGAAAAAAGTTGTCTCCTTTACATTTATTTCTGATGACATTAATTATTCAGTACAGTGGGATGCCAGACTTTAGACAACCTTGTTAATCATCATTATTTTCCTTTGTAATCGTTGGTTGTTAGTGGAGGCTTGTCCATAGGGGGCGCTAGTGTGCCACCCCACCAATCTCACAGGAAGAAGAAGATAGGACTCACAAAGTATTTAACCCTCCCACTGTCTTTATGGGTGACCCCGGGAGGAAAGTTGGCCATTGAGCAGGGTTGATGGTTCATCCCATGGGTCCACGTGGCAGGGGGGAGGAGTGAGCACCACCTCACCCCTGCCACGTGGACCTCAAGGACAAACCCATCAATCCTGCTCAGTGGTCAACTTTCCTCCCGGGGTCACCCATAAAGACAGTGGGATGGTTAAAAAAAACATTAAAATTAAACTAAATAATCTGTACATCATACAGACAACTGCTGTGTATAATCTGCATTTAAGTGTAGTTTAAAAATGTTATTTCACACTTTTACCATGACAGAATCATCTTGTGATGCATTTCCTTTTCCTTTCAGGTGCAGCAATCTTAACCATAGAACTACGCTAAACTGATGCATGCGCACTGGATCCCCTCCAGTACAAACAATAGGAGAGCCCTTGGTCCCAGAGGCTTGTGACCAACACTGGGTGGATTCTCAGCTCAGCTTAAGATGTTCACATGGAACCGGAAACTCTCCAATTTATAATTTTTTTTAACCTTACCGTTCTTTGTTTATTTTGGAGCAGCTGAGTACACCTTGTGAAGTAGTTTTATTATACAGAATCAAAAAAATGATGGGATGTGGCATCAGAGACCTAAAAACACTCTCCAGCAGGTAAAAAAGTGGACTTTTTTAGTAAAACACTGATTATTATGGCGTGTGGTCTTCCATTTCCTCAATAAGTTTCTAGCTGTGGATACAGACAGCTGAAATCTCTGAGAGTTTTCTGTATTCTTCCCCTAAATCATGATGGTGAACAATCTTTGTTTTCAGGTCATGTGAGAATTGTTTTTTAGACCATGGAAGTAGTTTTGACTTTAGAAGTAGGGGGAACACAACTGGCATGAGGACTGGGGGGGACGAGTCAGTAAGTATACAAAAGACATGTAATATGTAAATGGGAAGCAGGCTTCAACACAAGTGGTTGCTTTCCGCTTGGTCCTAGTGCTCAACCAGTGTCCATTTAAAGTTAACGTTAAAGTCCCATCAGTTTAACCCCCCAATCCAACCCCTTATTGCTGAGTGCCAAGCAGGGAGGCAATGGGTACCCTTTTTTTTTTTCAAAGTCCTTGGAATGACCCGACCAGGAATGGAACCCTGATCTCCCAGTCTCAGGGCGGACACTCTACCACTAGGCCACTATTAAGCCTAATATTGATTTTGGATGGTAAAAAGTGCAGGGGCCAAAAATGTACTTTAGAGGGGGGGGTTCTACATCCATGTTTGGTGTTACTTTTAAGAAAATATTCAGAGGAGGGACACTTACAAATGGCATCATTACTTGAGTATTTAATTTTCTCTTTTTCCTCATAACTGGATTCAGCTGCATATAAAGGTCAAGGGTCACTGAGCTAACCAAGCCAAATTTGAGTTCCAATAATTTGTTCTAAAGGTTTTGGAATCAATAAAATGAAAACATTCCCAAATTTATGCGTCTGCCTTCTTTGTTTAAACAGTTATTACACACTTTCTGTAAATCCTATAAACGTTGTTTCAATTCTCAAATACCCCTGTATGTCCTTTATGATGTATTAAACAGAAATATTTTATAACAACTAATGACCTACACTGGAAAATCATGAAGATTAACAAGGCTGCCCAAACTTTTGCATTCCACTATATGATTTTTCTTCTTTATTCATACCCATTTCATCATTAAAAATCGGAGAAAAATATTCTATCTATAGCTTGTCTGAGACTGATTGTCAAATGATCCTTTAAAATGAGGCTTTAATGGTCTTTCTTCTCTTATCTTGTCTTCTCCATGGATTGTTAAAGCGCAGCGCCAAATTTTGACCTGTTGATCTGACAACCTTGAGTTGAAGATAAATTATGATTAAAGGAACTTTGATTCATCAGCTCCTCTTTAGGAATGCACGTAAATCTCTTTCTGAAAAATGCAAGACCGTGCTGTCAAAAAAAAAAAAAATTATGCCTTCAACTGGCAGCTCAGTCTAATACTGTAATTGTACAGTCTTACTACTCACAGCACATGCAGTTCTTTTCTACCCAACACAAGGTCATTCATTCATGGCACATGACATCCCTGCTCATTCAAGGGTGTCTGGGGAGGAATTATTATGCTTGATGCCGTCTTTGAGTTAAATTCACAGTGTAGACGGATGTTGGATTCAAAGCGCAATGGAAAATCTTTCTACAAAGCACAGCAGGCTCCTGGAGACAAACTGCTAACGGTACAAAGCAGAATTCTGGGTTTTTTAACAAAAATCTATTAAACAGACATACAAGAATAGTTGAGCTTTGTGGAAAAGGTGTAATTAATTACAGCCTAGCAGATGCTTGCCCTGAATGACCGCTATGTCAGAGTAGTGGGTGAAGATTAAGATGGTCAGAATGCAGGAAGAATACTTTTCTTAACTGTTGTATTCAGCTGATTTGTTGTCACCTTACTGCTCAGTGTTGCCAGCAGTTGTCAGTCATCAAACTCAATACTTAAGTCTCCTGCGTCACTTCCAATGACAGCATTTAAAACAGTATTACAGGAAAACAGAACATGCCCAAGCCTTTCACACAACTTTAGTTTGGAGAAATAGTTTTGTTTCTGACAGAAATGATAAGCTAACGGCAAGTAAATGTTGCCCCCACGTTTTTCCTTCAGCACCCTGGATAGCTCCTGTCTGCTACATTCTCTTCTTTCCAGCTAACCCCTTCAGAACCACGGAGAGGGACACGCTGTTGGACAGTGCCAGCTGGAGCACAAGCTGCAGACAATAAAGCCTGATTTATGCTTCTCCGTCTGCGTCAGTGCGGAGACACGCAACGCCATTATCCGTCCTTGCGTAGGGCACGCAAGTACGTACGGAGTCGAGCCCACTTTTTTAAACATCCGTCGAACGAGACGGATTACGCAAGCTTGTGATTGGTCAGGACGCCGCTGTTGTTTACAGCGCCGCCATTGCAAAGAGAGCCGAGTTTAACTAGCGGCAGACACGGAGAAGCTTGAAGAATACCTCGCGAAAAAACTCTAAAAACATGAACGTTTAATTCTCCCGTGACTGGAGGAGTGAAAAGATGCGCAGCAAGCGTTTTATTTGTGGACGGAAATAACAGGAAACGTGGGTTGAGAGGTGGGGAGCGCATGAAGCGGTGGGAGAATGAGAGACAAATATGTCCGTGTTAAAAGTCTCTTATATACACAAAAAACACAAAATAAACACACGATCTTGGACCGATACATGACAGGATACCAAAGAACAGCGCTATGCCCTCTGTTGTCCTGCCGGGCAATTGCTTTGCAACGCTCTCCAGGAGACGGAGAAGTAAAAGAGCAAAACGCTTCCGTCAATCCGTGCGTGTCTGTCCCTTGCGGAGCTGACGGAGAAGCATAAACCAGGCTTAAGCAATCAGCCACCTTAAAGCTTAAAGTGCATGTCAAGTGTGCCTCAGAGTCTTACTCCACCCACGTATCAATTTTAAAAACTGCAACATTGGTAGGCGTTGCCTGGAGGACCGAGAGGGCAGAGCCGCGGCAGTGACGAAGACAACGGCTAACTAGACGAAGCTAGCTCCCTTCACTCTGAGCAGTCATTAGAAGTGGAGGACGTTTCTCCCCCTCCTTACCCAGACACTCGAGAAGAAAGGGACCAAGTCTATTTGGAGGAGACAAGCGGACCTGAGCCTTATTGTTTTGAGCTTGTGAGTTGCCTGAAATTACCGGAACCGACCCAACAGAACCATCTCTGAATGTAAATAGCCGTTAGCCATAGCATTGGATTAGCTGCAGGGTTTGTCTCCACGGCCCGAGAGCTAGTATTCAGCATGTTTTAGAGATTTATCTGCATCATCACACCTGGTTTTAATCAGCAACAAACAGCTGAGCTGCTTAACAGCTTATCTAACCTGTTAAAGCAGGAAGATCCACTGAAATGTGCTGGATAGCAGCTCTCCAGGAGATCTGGGCTCAAGCTACAGTCTGCTGCATAAAGTTATGAAAATATCCCATGAGAAAATTATTCTGTAATGTGTTCAGCCCACTAAAACTGCCATGATTTCATTATTGATTTACTGATACTAGCTGCTCTTGGTTGCAGGTGATCCTCTGGTGTCTGCAGCTGGTCTCCTGCTGGTGTCGTCAGGATCAGGAGCTTCCAGAAGAATGTGCCTTTCAATGACTCTTTCCCCCTTATTTGTTATATTAATTAAATAAATCTCAATTTATATATTTCCTGTTTTTGTTCATGTCCATAAATACTTAAACATGCTTGAAATTAAAACGAGCTTTTAACAGTGAGGTGCTAGTTTAGTTCATCACAATAGAGCTAGATAAACATGCGACAATGTGATAATTCAATTAATGTAATTTATAAATATCCATTAAAATATCAAAACTGGAATCAAAATGAGATATTTGGCAGCACAAAAAACTTGTCAAACACAATATTTATTATAATAATTGTAGGCAGACAGGAGACAGAGCTGATGGAGGTTCTCAGTCATCGAAGGATGGCTGAAGGCTTTCCAGGAACAGGAGATGTGGTGTTGTCTCTTCTCTCTCTATTCTGCCAGATGAGCTGATAGGTTACAGGTGTGTGAGGACATTCTCATGCTGTCATAACCAGATGACAGGAGTTATCAGGTGATCAGCCAGGCAAAAATGAGATGCAGAAAGAAAACAAATCCAGGACAGTGTACAGTAATAAAAATAATATGTGGTGTTGCTCACCTTATGTGCTCTTATAGAGTATTAACGTGTGCCTGCCTCATGGTGTAGAGTCCATATTTTGCTGAGTGTCCTGCAATAATGCAGGTTATTAGTTAATTTACCTTTGATAGCAAAAACAAAATATTTAATGTAAAGGTTATTTACCAGGTGAATCAGCTCACACGTCACCACCACGTGTCACAGGGCCAGAATCAGTAACCTCCTTCATGATGTCATGATGTAATCACATACTTATTTAATTGTTAATATCTTAAAAATTCAGAAATGTTTTAATTTTTTTTACCTTGAACAGTTCACTGAGCTTGCACTGTCACTGAGGTGGAAGCTGGAATCAACAGCAGACAACTCACATCTTGGTCTTTTCAGGAGGTGTGGATGCTCAGGGACCTTCTGGAAGATGAATTTCTGTCATGGTCCTTGTGTCACAAGACACTGAGGCTGTGAGCTCTATAAAAAACAAAGAAGCAGCACATTTATAAACGTTTAAAAGAGCATAAAATCACTTGTAACAATCTGTAAAACAAATTAAAACTAGAAGGTAATAAAATGTTTACATAGAAGATTATTAAAAATAATTCACCTTTGCTACGGGTAACACCACGTCAGCCTGGACAAGTGCATTCTTGCAGATTACTAAATCAGTCTGACAGCCAGTGTCTTGGGTAGATTTAGCCTGAAAAAAAAATAGAAGCACATTGATGTTTATAAAGTCAGATAAAATACAAAAGAAACTGTCCCATATAGGCACTTTATAACATTCCTAGTGTGTGATGTTATAACGTAAAAGTCAGTCACACATGATGTGGAGATCCTGAAATGCGACCTCCTGAACAGAATTCCTCACGGAACCAGGTCACAAGCTGGATTTCACGCTGTAATGCTGTCTGTCAACTAGTGCTGCATCAGAGTCACTGTTGCAGAATTACCGACTGACACAAAAACAACCCGAATTTTCTCTGAGCCTGACAGTAATAGTCATGTGGACCGTTTTGTCGGCCAGGGCTTCGAGATATGTTCCGATTCGCCGCTGATTCTAACCTTACATCCCGTTCCACATTTTGTGAACTTGACAAATCAGCCCGAAGGCAGTGCAGGCTGATATTAGCTAAATGGAGTGAACCACGTCTCTCAAACTTTGCATTTAGGAAGGGAATTGTCTTTAGAAGATGTTAAAACTTTTATTTAGCTTACTCACCTCAGACTGGAGCCCGTCATGGTGGGGGAGCAGAGTCGGTGGGCTGTATCTAAATCGCAGAAGAGCCACGGTGGGCACAGCCTCCCTCTTCAAACGGAGACGTGCAGAATCGCGGGTAAAATGCTGGTTGCAAACTACAGCACCAGGCGGGAGCTGAATCTTTTCCAGACACGCAACCACTGGCGCCTAATTTCTAAGTCCAGCGGAAAGGAGTGCAACCCGACAGAGCTCCGCAACCATCCCTTACGAAAAAGAAGTATACTTTAAGTATTTAATTTCAAGTATACTTAAGTGTACAGAAGTTTATTTGCATACTTGTTCTTAAAGTTTACTTAGAAGTATACTCCTTGGGACTAAATTGGGCCGCTAAAAGTATACTTGAAGTATACTACAAGTATACTTCAAAGTAATAATTTAAGTTTATTTGTAGTGTACTTCTGATATAATTGAGTATACTTTTCTCTTTGAAAGTATACTTAAAGTAACCTCACAAGTGTACTTGGAGTGTACTTCAGATATAATTGAGTATACTTTTCTCCTTGAAAGTATACTTATAAGTTTACTTGTAGTGTACTTCTGATATAAATGAGTATACTTTTCTCCTTGGAAGTATACTTAAAAGTAACAATATAAGTTTACTTGTAGTGTACTCCTGATATAGTTGAGTATACTTTTCTCCTTGAAAGTATACTTATAAGTTTACTTGTAGTGTACTTCTGATATAATTGAGTATACTTTTCTCCTTGGAAGTATACTTAAAAGTAACAATATAAGTTTACTTGTAGTGTACTCCTGATATAGTTGAGTATACTTTTCTCCTTGAAAGTATACTTATAAGTTTACTTGTAGTGTACTTCTGAAATAATTGAGTATACTTTTCTCCTTGGAAGTATACTTAAAAGTAACAATATAAGTTTACTTGTAGTGTACTCCTGATATAGTTGAGTATACTTTTCTCATTGAAAGTATACTTAAAAGTAACAGTATAAGTTTACTTCTAATAAAATTGAGTAAACTTTTGCCCTTGAAAGTATACTTAAAAATAAACTCTAAGTAACATTATAAGTTTACTTGTAGTGTACTTCTGAAATAATTGAGTATACTTTTCTCTTTGAATGTATACTTAAAATTATACTTAAAGTAATAATGTATGTTTACTTGTAGTGTACTTCTTATATAATTGAGTATACTTACAGTTTTGAAAGTACACTTTACAGTAAACTTGACGTAATATTCTTTTAGTACATTTAAGTATCTCTATTTTTTCTATAAACACATACTGCAAGTAACATTTAACATCTGCTATTTGCTTACTACCAATACATTTACTTTCCACTATTTACTGATACTTCGTCTTTATGCAGAGAAAAAAAAAGTAAATAAAATAGCTAAGTCATTTTGTTTAAATTTATTAAACAGAGAGAATTAGAACAGAACAAAAACAGACCTGTTTACCAGGATTAATCAAAGATGAGAACACAAACTGTTCTGAACATGACGCGTTAATTCTGTCCATTTTGAAAGACTTTTTAAAAATGCCTTTAAAAAAATCAGTCCATTTTATGGATCCACTTGCTTGGTTGTTGATGCCTTTTTGAAGTTTTCGTTGTTGCATTTCTTTCGTATTATTTTTCTTACATCTTGAACGCGCAGAGATGGAAACTTCAACTGAGCACGCCCTGTGAACACACAAAGCAAAAAAATGAACACTTGAACTGTTAGGTGAACTCTGACACCACAAAATCTTTACAGTTCGTACACTGTAAACCCGAATAAGTAGGCAGAACTCAAAAAATGTAAGGCAATCAGTTGCCTCATATTTTCTGAGTTTATAAACTCAGATATTTGAGTATATCAGACCATAAATAAACTTAAATATTTGGAGTTTATATTAAATATATTTTCAAATTATGATCAAATTAAAGTTACCGATTAAGCCAACTCAAACAGAAAATAAAACAAAATTTGAAAGAAACAATTACAAACGCACACTTTTGAAAACTGGACAACAGCAGTGTGTAGTCTTTCTTTGAGTAGGTGGTTTAAAGCAACATCAGGATGCACATCAATTCAACATTAACAAAATATGAATTACACTAACCACTATCAAGTAAGTCAGTGAGTACTTTATGTCATTTGGCATAAAACTAGTTGAATGGGCTAATCCGATTCAATTATTCACGCTAAACTAAAGCCACAAATGAGAGTTGCCAGACTCAGAACGGCTGGACGAACAGAGAAAATGTAAAACTCAACTGTTCCTCCCACTGTCTTTATGGGTGACCCCGAGAGGAAAGTTGACCATTGAGCAGGGTTGATGGTTTATCCCTTGAGGTCCACGCGACAGGGGTGAGGAGTGAGCACCACCTCACCCCTGTCACGTGGACCTCAAGGGATAAACCATCAACCCTGCTCAATGGTCAACTTTCCTCGCGGGGGTCCTACCCATTAGGACAGAGGGAGGGTTAACTCAAGGAGAAGTGGAAAATGAACATATTTGCCCAAATGGTGGTGTGTTACTTTAACATCAACAATTAAAGAGCAGACAAATAGTAAATTACATTGTGGATGTGGACAATGCTCTAACAGAGTGAGCCATCTGAATCCACCACTCTTTCAGATTTTGAGTTACACATGTAACATCAGGTCATTTTTGACTCTGCAGCGTGGGTGACAGTTTAGACTCATCAAGACCAAGTAAGATTTTCTGCGTGAACTCAAATGTGTTGGTCAGTCCCTTCGGATAATCTAGATGTAAGGCATAGATGAGGCCGAACATTACCAGGAAGACATCAGGAAGGCTGGAGAGGTTGACAATCACATCACCCTCTAGGATAACAGATTCTCACTGGGTCGTACGTAACTGGACTCTCGGCATCATCTGTGATGGTTGTCAGGAGGACAACTGCTGCATCCCGGAGGTCCAGCTCATTGGTATCATCCTTACAAAAATGAAAGGGAGATCATACACTAATCACATCTGAACTGAAACTCTGACTGTGGACATTTTTATTTCAGTAGATTGTCATGTAAATAACAATAAATGCAGTCTGATAGACTCCTGTTTAGGGCTGGGCAACATGTCAAAGATTTATCGCTATCCAAGTTCTTGTCTCTCATCCAGATAATTTTTCCCATGTCAATAAATTTGATAATAAAAAAATGAAAAGATGTGTAAGTTGGCCACATTTATGTCCCTTTAAGAAGCTGTAGCACCTTGAGTCATGTAAAATTTTAGTCAATGTAATACACGAGACAGCCCCATCTAGTGGACAAATATTGTTGCTGCGCATTCCTGTAGTTATCGTCCACTTATCGTTATCGAGGTGAGATCTTCAACATATGGTGATATTGATTTTAGGCCATATCGC